ACCCTGATGATTAAAACACAACACTGAGAACACAGCACCAAAAACTGACAACACAATGACCAACAAACACACATATTTCAATAACAACCTTAAATATCGATGGCCTCTGTTCCCCAATCAAAAGACACAGACGGACTGAATGGGTCAAGAAACAAATTCCATCTATATGCTGCCTACAAGAAACACGTTTTAGTTTTAAAGGTAAATATTACCTTAGACTAAAAGGGATGGGCAAAAGTACTCTAATCAATGGGACAGGATGCAAGCAGGTGTTGCTATTATATGACAAAAATAGACTTCAACTTAAAACTAATCAAGAGAGTAAGAGGGACACTTCATTCCAATCAAGGGACAGTTAATCAAAAAGACATTACTATCTTAAACACAGGTGCACCAAACCCTGGTGCACTTAATCTCATTAAAAATGTTCTAGTGGATTTAAAAACATAGATTAACAGCAATCCATTAATAACAGCTGATTTCAATACTCCACTTTCTCCAATAGATGGGTCATTCGGACGAAAAAAGAAGAAACATCAGAAACAACTGACATCAGACATCAGACGAAGTTAACATACATCTACAGAACAGTTATCCAAACACTAAAGAACACAAGAGCACATATACTCAACAGCATATGGAAGATTTTCTAAAATAAACCACATCCCGAGATACGAGACCAATCTTCCCAAATTCAAAAAGACTGAAGACACTCCCTGTATCCTATCTGACCACAATGCAATAAAACTTAAAATTGGCAGCAATAAATAAATAAATAAAACCCTCTGGTAATTATGCAAATTCATGGAGATTAAATAACTCACTACTAAATTATAAGTGGGTCAAAGAAGAAGTCAAGAAAGAAAGAAACTTCCTGGTACTAAAATAAAGATGAAAACAGAACACAGATCCCTGAAGGAAGTCCTGCATGAGAAATCACAGCTCTACATGCCTACATTAAAACACCAGAAAGAGCACAAATAAATAGCTTAATAAAGCATTTTTAAAAACTGAAAAAAAAAAACAAGAGCAAAATAAATCCAAATCCTGTTGGTGGCAAGAAATAATATCAGAGCAGAAATCAACAAAACAGAAACAAAGGAAAACAATACAAAAAAAAAAATCAACAAATCTTAGAGCAGTTTCTTTTAGAAAATAAATAAAACTGGTAGACACACAAAAAAGAGAGGACCCAAAATTAACAGAAATGAAGAGGGAAACATTACAATAGACATCAAAGAAATTCAGAAAACTATGCAGGAGTATTTTTAAAACTTGTACTCCATTAAGCAGGAAAAATGAAAATAAATCGATTTCTAGATTCCCCCCAAACCACCAAAATGAAACCAAGAAGCAACAACCTAAAGAGGCTCATAACAAATGAGGAGGCTGAAATAATAATAAGAACCTTTCAGCTAAAAAGAAAAAAAGAAGACTATAGGCAAATATCCTTGATGAATACAGACTCAAAAATACACAATAAAATACTTCCAAACAGTATATATATATATATCAAAAAGATTATACGCCATAACCAAGTAGGTGTTGTACCTGAAATGTAGGGATGGTTCAACACACCCAAGTCAATAAATGCAGTACATAGACCTAAAGACAAAATCACATGATCATTCCAATAGATGCAGAAAAGGCCTTTTACAAAACCTAGTGTACCTTGATGATAAAGTCCTAGAGAATGTAGGGCTAGAGGGAACACACTTCAACACAATAAAAGTTACATACAAGGAGCCCACAGCCAACATCATCTTAAATCAGTGGTTCTTAACCTACTTATTGCTGCAAACCTTTAATACGGTTCCTCATGTTGTGGTGACCCCAACCATACAATTATTTCATTACTACTTTATAACTGTAATTTTTCTGCTATTGTGAACTATAATGCAAATATCTGATATGCAACTCCAAGGTGATCTCAACCCACAGGTGGAGAACCACTGTCCTAAATGGAGAAAAGTTTGGAGCAATCCCACTGAAGTCAGGAACAGCACAGGTATCCACTATTCTCATTCTTCTTGAACACTGTGTTGAAGGTTGAGCAGTAAGACAAGTGAAGGAATTAAAGGATACAAACAGGGAAATAAGTAGTCAACTATTCCTATTTGCAGGTAATATGATGTCATTATACATCAGAGATCCCCAAAACTCTACCAGAACTTCTAGAAACAATAAACAAATTCAGAAATGTGTCAGGATGCAGAATTAACTTACAATCAATGGCTTTTCTATACAACAACAATTAACATAGAGAGAAGATCGTGGACATACTCCCATTCACAACAGTCTCAAAGAAAATAACTATCTAGGAATAAAGCTAACCAAGACATGAAGGACCTCAACAATGAAAACTTTAAACCACTGAAGAAAGAGATAAAGACACTAGAGACAGAATGACATCCCATGTTCATGAACTGGTAGAATCAACACTGTGAAAATGATCGTTCTACCAAAAGCTATGTACAGATTCAATGCAACCCCAATCAAAATCCCCATCTCATTCTTCACAGAAATAGAAGAACAAAACAAAACAAAAAATCCTAAAATTCATATGGAGCCACAGAAGACTGACTCCCAATAGTCAAACAATCCTGAACAAAAAGAAGAATGCTGAAGGGATTACAGATCCAGTCTTAAGATACATCACAGAGCCATAGCAATAAAATAATAAAGCACTGGCACCAAGACAGATACAGAGACAGTGGAACAAAACTGCAGACCAAACAGAAGCAAACACATAACATTGGCTACTGTGTTAGACAGTGGTGCCAAAAACATGCTGGAGAAAAGAAAGCGTCTTCAACAAATGGTGCTGAGAATTCTGATTGTCCACAAGCAGAAGACTGAAATTATACCTGTACCCATCACCTTCCATGAAATCTCATTCCAACTGGATCAAAGACATACACATGAAACACGAAGACTGCTGGAATAAAGCAAATCATATACCTGTATTCCTAACCCTACACAACATAGGTGTGTGCAAAGACTTCCTGAGCAGGACCCAAGTGCCTACCAATCAAGGACAACTGAAGTGGACTTCATGAAACCAAGAAGCTTCTGCCCAGTGAAACAATCAACTGGGGCTCAGTGTAAGAGCGCAGTCTGCTCTTCCAAAGAACCCGGGTTCAACTGCCAGCACCCACATGGTGGCTCACAACCATCTGCAACTCCAGTTCCAGGGCATCCCACACCTTCTTTCTGACTTCCATGAGGAAAACATTGGACATCAACCTTCGGCCTCCACATGCATTTATGCAGGCAAGCTAGTTAGTGAGCCCCAGTGACCCGGCTAGGGAGTTCACTGGAGCAGCTGGACCTGGCTCTTTCATGTGCTGGGGATTCAAACTCAGACATTTCTGTGCAGCAAGCACATGTTTGTAGAGCAGAGTCCCCTGGGCATCTCCCCAGCCCTGAAAAGGGGTTTTAGACAGAAGTATGGTCCTAAAGATTTTTCCAAAGCAGAAATAGGAAAAAACCTCAGAACAAAACCAAGTTTAAGTACATTCCAGAAGGTCTAATTAACTTATATGTATTTTTTTAAAAAGGGACTTACAAAAGGTAAACCTTAATGATGGTATGTGTGTGTGTGTGTGTGTGCATACACACCTATATTGTATTGGCTGTATTGCTATGTAGTCTGATGACCCAATACCCTCTAGATTTCCATTAATGTCTCCACAAGTGCCATGGCATGCACGCGCGCGCGCACACACACACACACACACACACACACACAAATAAATGGGGGCGAGTTCCAACACAAGTAACTATATTTATATGAAGACTATCAACATAGAAATAATATTTATTTTATATAAAAAGAAAGTTATCAACATAGAAAGAACATTTCTTTTACATAGAAAAGAATGTTAAAATAGAATGCTTAAGACCTATGCCTATATTACCTTCAAATACAGCCTTTCTTCTTTCCCAGATGTTTCCTAGGAATCCCCAAAACAAGACTAAATTTTTGTTCACAGAAAAACATCTTAACTCCTCCTGCAACCTTTGAGACCTAGAGTAACCCCATGCATGATCCGTGATCTGTTAGGTTAGCGATCCTGTTAAGGCACCACCAAAACCACTATATATAGTCACAGTAAAGACAGCTCTGTACCCCAATCTCAGGTGTGTCTTCCTTTAGTCCCCATGCTTAAATGGATGTTTAAAAACATTTTAATAAACTCCAAATCTGCTTCATAGTACCTTATCCTGAAATTCTCTTTCTGTGGCACGGATTCCTAAGGGGGAGAAAACTCCCCCAGCTGCTCCAGCAGTGTGGGGCACTGTCCCCACCCCCAGCTGCTCCAGCAGTGTGCGGCACTGTCCCCTCCACATATTCCCTGACAATTAGCTCAATATATAGGTGTCTAGAAATATCTAGAAGTTATCTTTGCTACATTTTTTTGAGACAGGATGTCATGTAACCCATGACAGCTTTGCTATGTAGCCAAGGATAGCCCAAACTCCTGATTCCCCCTGCCTCTATCCCCTGATAATTCATGTAGTACTAATGACTTTGTCACTGTTTAAAAACTTCTCAGCTCAAGTTTCCAAAGATGGAAACCCTGGAAGAGAAGCCTTAAAACAAGTTTGTCATAAAAGATGGCTATGTGTAGACGTCTTACCCAAGTAGTCAACTTAACCCCAGTTTCCAACTCTCCAGCTGCCTGGACACCCCTCACGTGCTCAATGTAACCCTTTCCTCACATGAATCAGGCATACCATACCACATGTGCATACAAGGCCAGTGCCAGACTTCCCACCCCAAGGCCCTGCAGAGCTGACTCTTCCCACCCCAAGGCCCTGCAGAGCTGACACTTCCCACAGTCTTTCTCTAGTTCTCCCACACCACTCAAGCCAACAAGGGAAAAAGGTCTTCCCACCCCGCTACAAGCAGTTTTTTGAACTCTACCCCCGCCTTCCCCACTTTCACGATCCTGCCTGTTACTGAGAAGGTAAGGTGCGAGGAAGCCATCACTCACCTCATGCTGTACGCACCAGCGCCCAGCTCCTGGCCAATGCCGGACAGGCTAGCATCAAAGTCCTGCACCAGCCCCGACTCAATCACCTCGTCCGCCAGCGGCAGCTTCAGAGCCCAGGCCATGCCGGCTCCTTCCTTGCCCTGTACAAAGGCACGGAGCGTAACTCTACCCGGCAGGGAACCTACAAACAAGCTCGCTCGCGCAGCACACCAGAACCCCGAGCCTGACCCTGAGGCTGCACCCCGGTTACTACTCGGGTGCCCCGATGGCCAGGATCCCTCTCGTTTGGCTCTTGGGAGCGCGAGATGCCCGGGTCTCAACTACTCCGGACTTGCTCGAGTGCGGCTGAGCCCTCCCGGCCGCTCGGCGCCCTCCACACAGCCTCTAAGCGGAGCCGCACCGCACGCCAAACGCCCCGGCGTGCCCTCCGCCCCCTGCCGCGGAGAGCTCCTCCCTCCGGGGGGGGGGCCCGCACTTTCCCCTCAGGCCTCGCTTCCGGTCAGCAGATCACTTCCGGTCACCGATTCTCCCGTGCTAGGTCCTCAGAAGAAAACCCAGATTTCTGTGCAGCGCTCCCCACGCCCTCGGGAGTGCCTCCGAGCGCCCGGAAACCTGGACAGGTAAAGTTCGGCGTAGACTCGAAGCGCAAACCCGTCCCAGCGCCAACCAATCATGGCGTCCTCTTCCACCCGAAGGTGACGTCACGTTGCCGCCCACCAATGAAGAGGCGGAGTCTGGCTTGGCTTTCGCAGCGGTGATAGGCTATCAAAGCTAATGTTCCCCGCCCCCTAGACGGTGGGCGGCCGCAGTGCTCAGGTGTGGACGGCGTGGCATGGAGCTGGGGTAGTAGCGTGGGGTTCTGGTCGCGCTGCCTGGGTGTCTGGCGATCTGAGAGCTGGCTGTCTGGCCGTACCCCGCCCGCCTCCCTCCCTGAAGGGACATTGTGTCCCTGGTGCTGTCTCAAACTCTCCTCACTTTCCGCTCCGTATCTTCCCCTTCTCCTAATGCTTTCGAGCAGGAGACAGGGAAACTATTGGGGTGTTTGCTGATGTTTTGAGACAGGGTCTCTGAGTAGTTTTGACTGGCCTGGAAGTCAGACATTCGCAACCTCTGCCTACCGTACCCTGCTCTTTTAAAAGTTATGACGGAGGAGTTTTGGAGAAAGATCTGCAGAGCAAAGTCAGGCCTGGCGTCTTTATTTATAGCTCGATAACCAGAATAGTCTCACAGAGATTGAATTTACTTAATTGTAAATAAATAAACCGTAGCCAGGCATGGTGGCTTATGCTTTGATCCCAGTACTCCAGAGACAGGCAAGCTGATCTGATTTCCAGGTAAACCAGGACTGCATAGTGAAGACTCTGGAGCAGGGAGGTGAAATGGTACCAACTCCACCTTGCTCTTTTAGGGATTAAGAAATTATGACCATTTTTATTAATCATTGGCTATATACCTGTGTGCTATGAACAGCATTACTTTACTAGAACTCCTCAAGACAGGGTTGTAATTAGAACGCTAATAGGTTATGGTGATGCGCTCCTATAACCCTGGCACTCAGTGGGCTGAGACAGGAGGATCAACACAAATTCAAGCCAGACTAGCCTATATAGCAAGTTCCAGGACAGCCAGGTCTACCTAGTGTCTTAAAGTGAACTCTACAGGTAAATGGAAAAGACTTTACGGATCAGAAAACAGACAAAGGGCTTAAATTAGCTGACTCTCACTGGAAGGCTGCTATACATGAAAATGTCCTTCATTGTTGTACTTCATCTCAATAGTTTTACAGTCTGTTTTGACTTTTATTTTTGTATAAACCTACTTCTCCCAATGGATGTCTACCTCCTAAAAGTTCGGGGAAATTGCTTAATGTGGTGGCCTACACCTTTAATCCCAGAATTCAGGAGGCAAACTCAGGAGAATAGGAGTTTGAGGCCAGCCTGGTCTACAAGAGCTACTAGACCCTGTGTTTAAAAAATATATATAAAAGGCCAAGCCTAGTAGCCCATGCCTGTAGTTCCAGCACTTGAGAAAATGAGGCATAAGGATTGCAAGTACTTGCGAGGCCAGCCTGGGCTATATAGAAAGCTGGTGGCCAAGCCGTACTACAGAGTGAGACCCTGTCAGGAAAGAGGGAGGGAGGGAGGGAGGGAGGAAGGAAGGGAGGGAAGGAAGAAAAAAGGGGCTAGAGAGATGGCTGAGGTTAAGAGCAGAAACTGCTCTAACCGAACCCTTGTGTGACTTCAACCCAAGAGTGGTCTGGTTCTGCTGGCTTCTGTTGGTGTCCCATGCACATACCCCACACACATGGTTAAAAATAAAGTCTCAAGGGAGCATGGAGTCAAGCACATTGGCTGCTCTTCCAAAGACTCAGGTTCAATCTCCAGCACTCATATGACTGCCCACAACTCTCACAGTAGATCCAACATCCCTTCTGGCCTCTGAGGGCACCGGAACACACATAGTACACAGACATGCATGCAGACAAAACATCCATACACATAAAACAAATTTTTAAAAAATAAAAAAATGTTTAAAAGAGAGCAGGTATTGACCCTTGTTCTTCATCCACTCCATGGTTGAGAACTTATGCTCTATCCCTGGGACCTAGGATCCACCAATGAAAGGGATGTCCAGAGCAAGAAGATCTTGGCAATTGGGAGCCAAGGAAAACCACAAAGTCACACCATACAACAAACCTCACACAAGAGATTCATTGGGGAGAAACACAGAATGGTGGCTGCCTCTGAGAGGCTGGGAGAAGGAGCAGACTTTTATGGGGGTCCGAGGAGCTTGTGCAGTGAACTGGTGGAATAGCACAGCATGGCTACAGTATTGCTTGGCCTTTGATCCTGAGTGATGGGTGTGGGGATTTCCAAGTCTCGGGTTTGGGGACAGGCAGGGAGCAGGGTAATTTTTCACTGGTCTGTTACCCTACATTCCACACTTTTTGTTTATTATTGATAACTAATCAGGGGCCAGGAAAAAGGGCAAAGTTATCATTAGACTACTTCCTGTTGTGTGGCAGCCTCCAAGTCCTCGAGGCAAGCTTGATCTTCACTGTCAGTGTGTAATCGGGGGTGTAGGACTCTGATTCTGTAGGGAGGGGTTGATCATCCTGTAATAACAGCTGGTTAAAGGTTGGTTAGAAGATTTTTAAAATTTGTTACTGAAGAAATCTAGATAAGAAGTTTATAAGACAGGGAACAATTAGTAGGATTAGGAAAAGGAAGAGAAGGGGAGTTAAGAAAGGTCCATATTGGAGCACCACGTTCCACCAGCCAGAAACATGGAGGTGTTCCGTATGACTTTGGGGATTAGTCTGGAGTGTTGGGTCTTGTCTTTTATTTACTATGCCCTATTGGTTGACTTAGAAGCAACATTCCTCCCTGAGAAAGAAGCAAAGGCCACCCTTCTCCACTGATAGAAGATCTAGTCCTTGTTGATTTTGTAGTACTGTGGTGGCCAGTGAGTTTATTTGGTCCTGGAGGGTGAGGATGTTCTGAGCTATGGGTTGGAGGTCCTGAATGAAGGTGTGAACCAGTAAAGGTACTTTACCAGGTATCACCCCTAATTTAGGAAGGAGAACAACATGGTACAAGTCCCAGAGCACCCTGCAGGTAGGCTGTAGCAAATTCTAGTGCCATAAATGACAGAGGTGTTGTGAACATTTGGGGATATGGGCTGGATGGTGGTGCTGAGGGTTAGGGTATTATTAGTCTGAAGCACCCAGTGTGCCCATAAAATGAGTACCTGGGGTGTCGATGGAAGTTTCTGTCCTGCCCAGTCCCACAGCCACTCAGTCCCAAATAAACACACAGAAGCTTATATTAATAATATACTGTTTGATCTATTGCTCGGGCTTATTACTACTAGTTCTTACAAGTTAAATTAACACATAATTCTTATCTATGGTTAGCCATGCGGCTTGGTACTCAATAAGGCATTCTCATCTTGCTTCCTCTGCATCTGGCTGGTGACTGTCTCTGCCTTTCCTCTTCCCAGAATTCTCCTAGTCTGGTTGACCCACCTATACTTCCTGATTAGCTACTGGCCAATCAGCATTTTATTAAACTAATATGAGTGACACATCTTTACAGTGTACAAGAGCATTATCCCACAGCATACTGGGGAGTTAAAGCAGTCTGCAATACTGAAGAAAGATGTGGGAAAGATGAGGGGTAGCAGGAATAATTGGTTCAGAGCAGTTAATGAGCAGCGAGGTAAGAGAATCTAATAGACTGATGGGGAAAGCCACAAATGCCAACTGTGAGTTTGACCCTGGAGAGACACACAACCAGCAATCTCCAAGGCAGCTGGGCAGAGTGTTATTCAGCAGCTGATATGCAGAGGTCTGAAACAAGAGATGGAGTGACCATGAGGACTGAGAGGTGGGATCAGTGTCACCCAAGACGGGAGACATTAGGGAGGCAAGAACCTTTGATGAATGAGATCACACCTTCATTTTTCCTATACCTCGATGTTGGGGTTGGGTGGGGTGTATTCTCTGTGTGTTTTGACCATGCCTGTAGTACACTTATTGAACATGTCATAATACAGTTTGCCTGTGAAACCATCCTCCCATCTGATGTCCCGTTGGTCTTGAATGTAGTAGAGGTGGAAGAATCCTTCCTGTATGTAAAGAGAGGGGGAATTTGGATGTCCCAGATTTGTCTCCTGGCATTTGCAAGACAAATATGGGCAACATCCCTAAGTTTCTGGCCATTTCTTACAGTAATATTCCTTTTGGTCATAGAGAAAACAGGCATGAGAGTAAGTGAGGGAGAGATGGATGAGGGAGTTACAGGGAACTAGACTGGCATTTGACAGACTGATATAAAACAATTTTCTAATCTATCAGAACGGGCTGTTGGTTAGAGGTGGGGGGGTCTATTGAACATTAAACACTCATATGTAAGAGCTACCCCAGACAGATGTAAATAATAAATAGAGGAGGCGAGGGCAAGTGTAGATAAAAGAGATTTTCAAATCATTTGTTTGTGCAGTAGCAGAAGGCGTTACCATATGAGAGAATTTGAAGATTGAACACGCAAATTTGGTCATTGGGCTGTATTGAGGTCAACCTGCTTGTAGTACCAGAGCAAGGCTTTAATGAAATCTGAGTCTAGAGAGGAAGAGAGAAAGGGCTGTAGACAAATCCCACACAAGGGAGCTTTTCTAAGCTCCAAGTGGGAGCTGAGAGGCAAGAGAAATACCCAGGAAGGCATAGAGAAGCTGTGAGACTTCCAGGAGGGAGACGGGAGGTAGAAGTTCACAGAGGCCTAGAAGGACTCAAGGAAGCTGCAGGACAGAGCAGGCAGCTCCGAGGGGGAGGAGGTAAGGAAACAAGGAGGGTTCCACTAGAGGGAGAGGAGCAGGCGTCATAGTGTATAGACAGTGTCCCATGTGGTAGGGCCTAGGAAGGCACGGCAGGGAGATGCCTGTGTGTTCAGAGCTCTGGAGGGCATAGCAGGCTCCAGAAGCCAGAGAACAACACACTTAGCAAGTAGGCAAGAAGAAACAGATGGTCAGAGCAGGTGGAGGGAAGAAATGGATGAAGAGGAAGACTCTAGCATGTAGAATCAAATATGGTGGGTGACCAAAGGCAACAGAAACAAAAGTACATGCCTTAGGAGAGCCATAGAGCAGTTTGGGTCCGATCAGAGCATGGTTCAGAGCAGTTAAGTTCCTTTGCTATTGAAAGGCCCAGCAAGAGCTATTAGTTCAAAGTGTTGATCAGTGGTTTGGGCTGGGAGGGCCCAGTGAAGTTTACACAAAGGTTTGTCAATAGGCACAAGGGGAACTTGAGTGAGGGGCCAACGGTAAGCAAGAAAGGAGAAAAAAGGGATCCAAAACTCTAAGAGTCAGTCTCCCCTAGGAAGGATAGAATTTTGACCTTGGTGGTGGGGATTGTGAGTGATTAGATTAGGCATTTTCTGTCTAGGGTGATGGCCTGAGGGGAGAACAGCTGAACTTAGAGGATAACACCCTGTATCCCCGGTCAGACAGGAAGATTAGTAGGAGCAGGAGACAATCTGACCAAGCTGTAGGGACGACTACAGAGAAGATCATTTGTAGAACGATTAATAAAAACCCAGAGACAGATATTGGGTTCAGCCTGAAGGTCAGAAAAGCAAAGCAGCAAGCTATTACCTCTGTCTCAAATGGACCAAAATGGACCAAAATGGCGGTCCTGCCTCCAGGGACCCGCAGAATAAGACTGAGCCTGAAAGCTGTCTCCTCCCATCTTTTATTGCTCTCTAGTGCTGGGATTAAAGACATAGACCACTACCATCTGGTTTCTATGGCAAACTAGTGTGACTACTGGGATTAAAAGTGTGTGTGTGTCACCACTACCTGGTCTGTAAGGCTGACCACAGTCACTATTTAACTCTCTGATTTTTTTTGGCAAGTTTTATTTATTAAAATACAAATGAAATATTACTACATTTCCCCTTTTGTCTAAAATGAAAAAGAAGGCTATAACTAACATAAAAACTATATACAATAAGTACAATGACTATATACAATATACACACACAATAAATGCATCAACAATGTCTAGTCCATCTGCATTTGACAAATTCACAGAAAATACTCCATATTTATCCTATCTTGGTGAGTTTAAAGTATTGTACCTAATTTACTTTTTGTCATAACTTGCTTTCTGCATCAGGTAAACAGGTAAAACTATATCTAATCTTCAACTCCCTCAGAGACCCAAGAAGGAAATAATACTAACTTAGTAAGCAGGAAGGAAGTGTGAGCCAGTGACTTCCAAAAAAAATGTGAGAAGTGACAGAAACAGCTGGCTGCCTGGACAGACACCCAAAGTTCCTCTGCAATGTTGGGGCATCTATCTACAGGCTTAGCATATCTGACAGACTTTTCTGTGAAGCAGGATATTCTGAAGGGCTGTCTCTCCTTGTCTTTACAATGTTTGGCAGTTACTTTTTTGTGTGTCCTTCTTGTCCAATTAGGACAGCATACTGTCAGCAGTCAAGGCAAGAGCTCTTCTTACCAAGTGGCTTACTTTTGCTACAAAGAAAGCAAACTCCATGTGGAGTTTCTTCAATGCCCATTATCTTCTCTGAAGTAGATTGGTGCTGCCAGGAGCAGACATTTAACGTTGTCATAAAAAGAGCCTATTTATTAAAACATCTTGAATGCCTTATTCTGTAGATCTCTAAAGAGTTTGAAGATAACCTGTGTGTCTAAAATATATCTTTGTTTGACCTTGAAAATGAAGGAGCAGGACAAACTCCATTTTGAGAAAGAACTTCATTTTAGCTGCACTTGACCTAGGGCTGATCCAGCTTCAGTGAAAATCAAAATAATATTTCTAAGAAAAACAGGCTGTGCCTGCCACGGTTAAAGTAACCCCACCCGGTGGCCAGTCAATGGCTAGCAACAATGCTTACTTAAGATGTCCTTGTGGGCATCTGATAATTGCTGTTTGGAAACTCCCCTAGACCCAGCCAATGAATTTGAAGGTTGCCTTCCCTCACCAAATTTGTATCCAATCATGTAACACCAAGGCTGTACCCTGCTTAAGACTTTTTCCCTTAAAAACTCCCTGCTTTAGAGGTTCAGGGTCATTCTCCTCCACCTGTTGCATCAGAGTGTTGAATGATGGTCCACATTTAAGTTCATATTCAGTAAACCCCTCTTGTGTCCTTGCATTGGATACCGGCTCTGTGGTAGTCTTGTTTGGGGGAGTCTCTTGATGCAGGTACATTTGGAGGCTCGTTCAGGATCCCCACAGACTCTGGCCTGAGGAGTTCATGACCAGCTGATAAGTCTCTTTGTTTCTGTTCCTGTCTTTGTCTCTATGTTGTTCTGTACTTTCACTTTCTGAAGTGTGCCAAATCTATAACGTGGTCCAGTAACAGTCAGTGTCTGGGACAGTCAGTAAAGGCGTTGGAGGACCAGGACCATGGGGGTCCAGGAGACATTTCACACCCTGGAGACGGGTATGTGGAAAGCCCCAAGGCATGTTTGATTGAGGACAGAGAGTCTCATGTTTGGATGGTCCTTGGTGTGATTGAACCTGGAGAGTTGCTCCCTGCTGAGGGCACCAAGCCATCACTGTTTCTGAAGCTTTGTTGGTTGTCTTATTGGGGCAAAATCTTTTTTGTGCCCTTGATCTTTTGTGTTGTCGTTTGTTTGGTGTTTTTGTGTATCTGACTGAGATGGAAATAATGGGACAGTCCCCCTCTTCTCCCCTAGATCTCTGCCTACCCCACTGGAAGGACATGCAAACCACAGCTCATAATCAAGGGGTTGAAATTCACAAGGGAAGGTTGGTTACCTTTTGCACCTCAGAATGGCTCACTTTTGATTTCATCTGGCCCCCGGGAGGGGAGTTTTGATGCCAGACCCATTGGGCTGTGGAGAAATTGTGTTTCAACCCAGAACTGGACATCCTGATTAGATACCCTACATCATAACATGGCGAAGTCTGGTAGAAGAACCTCCCTCTTGGGTTAAAACTTTTCTTCCCCAACAGGTTACAGTACTGGGGGCAGAGAAGAAACTCCCACTGACTGGGGGCCTTTCAGCCCATCCAGCTCCAGTTTTTCAGGGTGGAAATACTGAAGAAGATACTTTCCCTCCCCCTCCTTATACCCATACCCCAGCTCCCAGGCCTGCACCAGCAGTGGCCCAAGGAGACCCCCTCCAGAGACCCCACCCATGGGGAAGGCCCAACCAGGGGCACCAGAAGATGGAGAGGAAGGACCCCTGAACTGGATTCTACTGTTCTCTCTTTGAGGGCCACTGGGCCCTCAACTAAGATAGGAATCAACCCTTTTATTACTGGGCCTTTGCCACCAGTGATCTCTCCAATTGGAAGTCTCAAAATTCTCCTTTCTCTGAGAACTCCCAAGGCTTGATGACTCTCCTCAAAACTGTTCCTTTCACCCACCATCCCACTTAGGACAATTGTGTTCTCCATGGAGGAGTGGGACTGGGTCTAGGTGGGAGCCTGAAAATTGGTTCTGGGCCCCACAGGGAGCCTACAGCCAACCAGACTCTCAGCGATGGCCGCATTCCCTCTATCTCACCCCAAATAGTATTACAACACGGCTGAAGGTAAGAGGAGTCTCCTTGTCTATCGTCAGACTCTACTGGTGGGTCTCAAAGTGGCCGTGGATCAGCCCACAAATTTGAGCAAGGTCTATGGTGTTAGACAGGGACCAGATGAAAGCCAAGCTGCATTTTTGGAAATGACTACAGGAGGCTTTCAAGAGACAGACACCACAAAATCCAGAGTCACGGGAAGTGTGGTGGCCTTGGCGTGAGGCTTTGGTAACCAGGCAGCCCCAGGCCTTAGAAGGAAACTGCAGAAACTAGAGCACTTAGGAGGGAAAGGCGTTGGAGTGTCCCGCGCTACGGTCTCGCCAGCAAGAACGACACGGGGCACTTAGGATACTTCTGCAGTAAAGCTTTAATGCCTCTTGAGAGGGAGAGCATCAGCTTCCAAAGCGGAGACCCAGAATGAGGGGAACCCAGCCCTTATAAAGGAAACAGTCCTCGCTTCTGACGTGTCACTCTTGAATCGGTCCACTGCCCATTATCCCAGATGATGCCTCGGGAGTAGGCAGGGACACAGCGGTAGAGAGTTACAAAGCACGTGCGCTGGGATTAAAGGCGTGTGCTACATCACCTTGAACTCACAGAGATCTGCTTGTCTCTGCCTCCCAGGCATCAGGGCTAAAGGCGTGTGCCGCCACACCTTGGGGTCACAGAGGTCAATCTCTACCTTTGTTCCTAGAAGCAATGGAGAATGTGGTCCGGCCCTCCACATATCCCCCTTTTTTTACTTCTTTGCAGAAAGGCAACTCCCTAGGAAGGTAAAGATAGAGGTCGCACTTCCCAAAATGAAAACATTACGATGGGCTTGCACGGAATCTGTCCCTAGGCTCATGACACCTGGAACCTATCCAGCCTGCCCTCTGCCAATTTTCTGGGAAAGGGAATATACGGCAGGAAACCCTTAAGCAAAGCGACTTATCTTTCAGAGAGGGCCATTCTCTGTGCGATGCTCTTCAGCTCGACAACCTTCAGGGCTAGCTAAGCCAAGCACTCCACCCTGTGCAATGGACCACAGTCCTAGGGGTGCAGGAGCTGGTTGGCTTAAACCTTACTGCTTTAACATAAATAACCACACATCAGTAGAGGCCCCCTGTTCCAGGGCAGCCAGCGCTTGTGCAATAACCACTTTGTCCCTACGATTTTGGGATTTGAGTCAGCAGACCATCCAGAGGAGAAACACTAATCCATAGCATAGGACTGTTCCAAAACATTTCCACCCCCACCCATTCTTTGAAGTAGGGGAATGAGAGACACGGCCCAGGACTGGAGTCCTACGGCCAAGCTTATAAATCATCTCTAGGACGGTAGGGAGGGGGCCCAGAGTCTTATTGGTTGTAAAAAATCGGGGAGACACCGCCATCCTATGGTTGACTGGTAACAGCTTCAGGAAGGCTGAGAGTGTCCTCCATCGGTGCTCTGTCATCCATCCGCAAAATGGCAGGAGGAACAGCAGCCAGGTCCTCAGGCGAATCCGTGTGTTGTGGATCACTCTTCACTGTTCGGGTCAATCGCTCTGGCAGCCAGAATGGGCTTTCTTGATCCTGTGGGAAGACACAAACAGCTCCCCTGGATCTCAATAAAATGGGATCCGGGCCTTTCCATTCATTAGAAAGCACATCTTTCCACTTAACCAAATCTTTGGGCCGCTGCGGATCCGAACAATGTCGTGTTGCAGCATTTTGGCCATTATCATCCAGATTTAAAAAATTTATGGTGAACAGAGCCATGGCGATGGCCACCCTTGGCGTCGTGGGCAGCTCTGTCAATATTCCCCCTTTCTGTTTAAGTAGATAAGATTTGAGGGTGCGATGCGCTCGTTCTATGATACCTTGCCCCTGGGGGTTATAAGGCAGGCCTGTAATGTGGGTGACCTGCATCTGCGCACAGAATTGCTTAAACTTTTGAGAAGTATAGGCAGGCCCATTATCCGTTTTTAAAGATGTGGGCTTGCCCCAAGCACTCCATGCCTCAAGGCAATGTTGAATGACATAAGAGGTTTTTTCTCCTGTAAGCGGTGTGGCATGAACAATGCCAGAGCATGTGTCAATCGACACATGCACATACTGAAGTTTTCCAAAGGCAGTGATATGAGTTACGTCCATCTGCCATATTTGCAAGGGCGTAATCCCTCTGGGGTTCACGCCAGTGTGTCTGATAGGAAGAAACTGGCAACAGCTGTGACATTGGGTTACAATATCGCGAGCCTCTTTTCTGGTAAGAGAAAAACGTTTGCGCAGGGTTTCAGCTGTAACATGAAAATTGTCATGAAAGGTTTTAGCGGTCTGCAACGGGGAGGCAAGAGCTACTGCAGCAAGCCGCGTAGCACGATCAGCCAGGTCATTGCCTAGACTCATTGGGCCTGGAAGCCCCGAATGTGCTCTTATGTGTGTGATAAAAAATGGAGCTCTCCTACTTAGTAAGCAATCCTGTATCCTCTGGAAAAGAGCTGCCACTGTACTAGTAGGTTTTATAATTCCAGCGGCTTCTAATAATTTAACAGCGTTAACCACATAGGCAGAATCAGAAACAATATTAAGGGGACAAGGAAATCTTTGAAGAACCTCTAAAACCACCATACATTCCACCACCTGGGGCGAGGTGGCAGAAAAGTTCTTTATATATGTTTTAGAACCGACAACATAGGCTCCCACACCATTCTTGGAGCCATCTGTATAAACCGTCATCCCGTCTTTTAACGGAGCAAAAGATGTAACTCGGGGAAACACAATGGGATGATATGCAGCAAACTGCAGTAGAGGGTGTTTAGGATAATGATTATCAATTTTCCCCGAAAAGGTGGTAACCAAAATGGCCCAATCGTCAGAGGCAGCGGCCAAAGTTTGTACCTGAGAGGAGGTATAGGGAATTATCATAACCTCTGGGTGCTTGCCAAAATGACTAACAGACATTTTAAGGCCTTTAAGGGCAATTTGAGCTATAGCGGCGGGGTACCAATCAATACTTTTGATAGGAGAAGCATGCGGATGGATCCACAGTAACGGTCCGTCCTGCCATAGCACAGCGGTGGGTAGCTTTCTTGTTTTAAACACGCATAGAGCAAATGGTTGAGTTTCATCAATACGGCACAGCTGTGCCTCCTTAATGGATTCCTCCACTAGCAACAAGGCTGCCTCTGCTGCCGGCGTCAAAGCCCGAGGGGAGGTAATATGAGTATCCCCTTCCAAGATATCAAACAATGGCTTCAAATCAGCAGAGGGGATTTTTAAAAACGGTCGCAGCCAATTAATATCTCCTAACAACTTTTGGAAATCATTTAACGTTCGCAAATCATCCCTATAAATTTTTATTTTTTGAGGCAGAATCTTTTTAGGAAGAATAACAGAACCTAAAAATTGGCCAGTATCTGCAATCTGGACCTTCTCAGCGGCTATTTGAAGACCCCATAGCTGTAAACTTTTAACGAGCAGTGGGTAGGCTTCCTTTAGGACCTGTAAGTCCTCATGACACATAAGTACATCATCCATATAATGAACCACGAGCAAACATGGAAACCGTTCACGAAGCGGTTTAAGAGCCTCTTGCACAAACATCTGACAAATGGTCGGACTGAGACACATACCCTGAGGGAGGTTTTTCCATTGAAAACATTTATCAGGCTCTATATGATTAATTGAAGGAACCGTAAAAGCAAAGCGAGGCCTATCAGCAGGATGCAATGGAATAGAAAAGAAACAATCCTTAATATCTATTATTACCAGACTCCAATTTTTGGGCAAAGCTGAAAGCACCGGGAGTCCTCGCTGCACAGGTCCAAAGAGGTGCATTTGTTCATTAACGGCTCTCAAATCATGCAGCAAGCGCCACCTTCCGGATTTCTTTCTAATGACAAAAATGGGTGTATTCCACGGAGAGGTGGATGGTTCTATGTGTCCCAGAGCCAACTGCTCATTAATTAGCTGATTCACTGCTTTTAGTTTTTCAGAAGTAAGTGGCCACTGGGGAACCCATACGGGGGTCTCTGTTTTCCACGGTATGGGCCGTGCTGCCCCAGTGGCGCCTAGGAAAAACCCAGGCCCTGTTTATCGACATTAGGTTTAGGATTTATTGGCTCCCGTATTCCCTGCTGGGAGCGACCCAAGCCCCTTCCTGGCCTATGACCCATTCTGATCATAACATCTTGGGCCTGAGATGAGTATGTATTAGATAAGGTCAATCCCATGCCCTGCATCACGTCTCTTCCCCATAAGTTGACCGGCAGGGGGAGGACATATGGTGTAAAATATCCCGACTGCCCTTCGTCTGTTTTCCAGGTTAATCTGGCGGAGCTAATGGTGGGGTTTGCACTGTAGCCCAAGCCCTGTAGGGCATGAGACGACTCGGTAATGGGCCAGGACCGCGGCCACCAGCGCGATGAGATAATACTTTTGTCCGCACCGGTGTCCAAAATGCCTTCGAAGCATTTACCATTGACCCAAAGGGGCAGTTTGGGTCGATCGTGAAGGCTAACAACCAAGTAGGCTGAATCCTGTCCTGTTGACCCCATTAATTTATTCTCCGGCCTCTGGCGGATGTCTGCCGGAAGAAGCAGTAGTTGAGCTATCCTGTCTCCTTTACTGATGGAAAAAACTCCACTAGGGCAAGAGCATAGGGCTTGTATCTCAGCAGTGTGCTGACTATCAACGAGACCTGGGTGGACGATTAATCCCTGTAGGGTAAGCGAGCCACGTCCTAAAAGCAGGCCCACGCTTCCAGGGGGTAGGGGCTCAGGCAGCTGCACAGGGACGGGCTGTACCCCCATTTGAGGCATCAATAAGAAGTCGGTGGAGGCACACAAGTCCATCCTTGTTCTGCCTCCGAGGGTCCCTCGGTCGTTGCCCTGACGAACTTGTTCCCATATTTTTGGGGGCCCTGGGACCGAGGGCCCGCCATTCCGTTTTTTGGATCATCAATCTGTGGGTTTCCTAATGGTGGGAGGATCTTACCATGGGCGTCCCTAACGGAGCGGCAGAGCTCTGCCCTATGATAACCTTTACCACAGCGTGAGCAAAGCATAGGGGGCGCTCTCTCCTTTTCTGATGACCTACAGCCTACAGTCCCTTTTTAAGTGTCCTGGCTTCCCGCATTTAAAGCAAACTCTTGCGTCTGGTCCTTTAAAAGGGCGTTGTTGTGACCGCAAGATGGCTGCAGCCAAACCTGCATTCGTCAGGGGTCCTCCTAGTTCTCTACAGACCCTGAGCCAGTCCTGTAGCCCTTTATTTTTCCTAAGGGCTATGGCGGCACGGCACTCCTGCATGGCTTGCTCAAAGACAAGCTGCTCAATTAGGGGCGTGGCCATATCAGTATCGCCAAAAATGCGTCCTGCTGCCTCAGTCATTCTTGCCACGAAATCTGAAAAAGGCTCCTGCGTCCCTTGTATAATCTTGGTGAGCGGAGTGCTCCCTTCTCCCTTTTTTGTCAAGGCTTTCCATGCTCTTACAGCTGTATCGGCTATCTGGCGGTAGGCGCCGTAAGGGTAGTTTGTCTGGGCCATGGCGTAGTGCCCTCGCCCAGTCAGGAGGTCAAATGTCCATTGCTGTTGTTCTGGAGTTAAGGCCTGAGCGTTAGCTCTGGCCTGTTCCTGGGCTGCCTCGTGCCACAGCGCTTTCCATTCTAAATATTGACCCATGCTGATGAGCGACGCTTTTGCAACTGCTTCCCAATCTGCTGGAGTCATGGCAGACGAGGCCAATCTGTCCAACTGGGCTAAGGTAAAATTAGCCGTTACTCCATACTTTCTGACTGACTCTGCCAACTCCTTGATTTGGTTGTACTCCACAGGCGCATGTACTCGCCCATTTTCCCCTTCATAAACAGGGAAGGCCAGGTGTAACTTTCTTTTGACCTTGTCAGGCATAAATGAAAAGGTCTTTGGCCCAAGGCGTTCCTCATAAGGAGGCGCCGAAGGGGAAGTTGGGGGAGGGCGCGGCTCGTAAGGAGGCGGATGGGCCGTTTGGGATGACCTCATGGCCCTGCCGCTGGCTAATTCTACTTCCTCCTCTGTATCCAGTTCTCCTTCCTCTTCTCCTGAGCCAGAACTTTCGTGCTCATTTTCATGGTCACTTTCAATTTGCAGAGCTTCAAGCCCCTGCAGAGGATATAAACTACTGGTTTTTTCTTTTTTCTTATTATTGATATCAGAAAGCTTTTGACCTTGTAGGTCAATCTTCTCCCCCTTTCTAATTTTCTCAGAACCACCGGGGGATCCAATTTCCTTATTTCTTTTTCTTGTAGGCGCGCCTAACCTCTCACCGCACTCAGTTTCTGATATGCTATCCTGGACTTCCTCCAATACATTTTGTCCGTCCGCAACAACAGCCTGGCAGGATTTATCTTCTAAGCAATTTTTGGCAAAATATAAGAGGACTGCTAAAAGAGGTAGCAAGGCCCCTACGACACCTTCCCAATGCGGAAACAAGTCAAGCCCAAAACCGAAAAGTCCAAGAATAGTCATACCTCTCTGAGTAAACACCCTGCAGTTCTGAATCCTCCTTGTGTCCAAGGGGTCTCCGGCGGTGCGAGCAGTTGTCAGGGTCCCCCAGCGTCCCGGGTTTCGGCACCAGTTGTCCCGCGCTACGGTCTCGCCAGCAAGAACGACACGGGGCACTTAG